ATTTACTATTACGCACCAACTTTCACAGTAAAATATTGAAAATTATACCTTAAGGAAATTAAAAAGTTAAAGGTTTAGGTTTCGTACGCACGGTTATATAAGAGGAGGTTCAAAAAATTTCCCCACCCGAACCACATTTCTCAATGTCGAGGTGCTGCAGCACAGTGAAGGTCGTTGAAAAATTTTGGAAGTGGCAAATTTTTTGCAGTGGAGTTAACGAGGGAGTGGCCGAAAAAGATGACCGATTCCAACCGTTTTCAATAGCGTTCGTCCTTCGATCGAAGCACGTCAGTGTGCCAAATTTCACCAAAATATCTCCAAAATTTTGCGACTTGCAGATTGAATCCAAAAATACAGGGACAGAAAATGATTCTGAATCGATCGATATAATAAAAGCAGGGGCGATCTTAAACCCTTCTGGGTGTTACGTACGTCCTCAGGAGCCTAATACATTCTGTACAACAAGTGACGTAGGGCATAAACAGAGCAGCCTAACTAGAAATAAAAACATAAAAATCTGATCGGAAGTCTGCGTATTATCTTCTAATTAAATTGAACTCTTTAAAAGTCGACAGAACATATAGGAAAAATTAGTTCAGCTCATTTGATTAGTGTTATGTTAAGAAAACGCTGAACCGGTTAACGAAAAACACACTCGCGCTTTGATATGTAACAAAAATTCTGGAATAGATTAATAACTAATAAAAAGCACAAACACACAAACTTAATGATACTGTGAACAAGTAAATGTGGTTGATCGAAAACTCCTCAAAGAATATATTTATTATAGGTTGCATTCTGGCACTACTTAAATTTAACAATTACAATATTTTTTCATATAACTTATTGTCATTTCTACATTTGATAATTAAACGTTGTTCTATTGAAAACGGTGACTTACAAGTCAAATTTTTTGAAGTAAGAAAATCGTAATCGGCTGTGATCAACTTTTTCATACCCACTATCTGTATGTTAAAAAATTTTTAAGAAACTAAAAGAATTACATTTTTATATCCGCCTGAGTGGCCGAGTAGGCAAGAGTCTCGACTAGCAACTCAATGATCGTGGGTTTCAAATTTCAAGTGCGGTAGAGTTTTTAATAAAAGCCGAAAGCCTTCGATGCTAGCGCTTCAAGACTTAATCCTAGAATTTATTCTCTGGCTAAATTTATAATAATAATAATAATATACATTTTCCAACTTAATAATTTTGAGCAAGCGTGGCTGGTTTTGTCCAATTCCTTAGAATATACAAAAATGCACAAATTTTTATCGTATGTTTATTGCAGTTTATAAGTAATGAGCAAAAGCCCCAGTAAGCTGAGGTGTTTTCACTTTTATGCTGTCCTCTAGGCGAGTCCCGAATTGGTCTATTTTCGATAACGACCTCGTTGCAAGAACTTTCAATGTGTATGGCAGTTTCGAAGGCGATATCTTTATTTCTGCGGTGGAAAATGTGTTTACCATAGGTCAACAGGCGGACAGATAGACATGTGAATAGGCATAAGATCTATTCGACAATATGTGTGTATACTGCCATCCTCATGTGATGGGTATAAAAATGTAACTGCTGCTCCTGCAATGTTGAAGATATTGAGATAATAAGTAAAAGGGCATTTTTTCATTCGGCCTTGAAAATTTCCAAAGGAACTATTATAGTAATTGAAGTATACGTTGGCTGTCGTTTGTTTTTTTTTCTCCAATCACGTGGTTCGCTCTTAGAATTTTACTTTTTGTTTGTTGTTTTGTTGTTGTTCTTCTACTCACTTGAAGAATGGCTTAAATGGTTTTTTATTATAACTCGTCTTTTTTTATAACACTAAGAAATTCATGAGTGTACGCACATTTGTATTCCTTACTGTATATGCACATATTAGCTTCTATGTGCATAGCATGATTGTAATTAATTTAGATTCATACGCAAACGACGGTTTATACGACATTTATTTGAATCAAACACTACAGCAATGCTATCTAAATTATCGGCTATATAAACATGTATGCCAGCATGTATTCATATATGTGTTTATGTACAAAATTCTATTTTAATGAGACATTTCATTTTTTAAATCCATTAAAATAAAATTTTTAAAGGAATGATAGTAGCATTAACCATCACACCATCATTATAAAATATGCTCATTCCTTTATACTTCCTAGTATTTTCAGTCTTACTCTGCTTAATTTATAATTCGTAAATTCATAATTAGTTTGCTGCCAGAATATATGAGTGCATATTAGATGAACACTAATTCACGTTTTATAACACTACAGGTGTAAACTGACCACTTATTTTCATGAACGATTTCTGCCAAGCTTTTATAAATTTTATCGTTCTTTTTTATAGTTTCTACATAATATTATAAGATAAAACTATCTGTTAGTGATTTTACCTCTTTATTCCTCTCCTCTGACCACTGCACTCCTTTCTGAAATCATTTACAGAAGCGCAGCGGTTTAATCCTCGGGCTGGTCTTGTCCATTTGAATGTTGCAATTCAGCTCTCTTGACTCTACTGACTGTCTTTCGCAAATATTCTGCTTATGTACGCTTTTACAAGCAAGTTACAAGTAGCTAACTTCATTGCGGCATTTTTGTGTTAATCCCACTTTTTCATGGAAACTCAAATCGTCGAATATGGGATTTTCGTAACAATGTATTACATGTTATATCAATTGATCCCAAGATAAGTTTGTAAATGAAACCGAAAATCTGTTAAATACTATAAATATATTTGTTATCGGTAGAAATAGCGCCTGTCTTTCTTGACCATTTATAATTGAAGTTTCAAAATGTTGCGTCAATTGCTCTCTTGTCACTTCCGTCAAGTTAGCTTGTGAAGTCAACCAAATAGAATGCAGAAGATTGGATTTAAATAATTATTTACCTGCGAAGTGATCATATGTTTGTGATCATACAAATTCTATATTGTCTTATTTGAGAAATAAGTAAAAATTTATTAATAAATTTTCTACAAACTATGGTCCATTATCAACAGAAAAAAAAATTACAGCGAAGCTCACGATTGATACAAATGAGAACTACATGAAAGACGAACAATATTTGAAAAGTGCTACGTGATTTAAACTTGTTTAAGAACTTGATTTCATCATTTATTTCTTCTTCTACTTGAGTGAAAAAGAACAATATTCAAGCCCCATGCTTCAACTTCTGATCGTTTCATAAATATATCTTGTAACTCAATTCAGTAACTTATCTGAGTCAATCGAATTGCAACGGTTTCGTCTTTAACGAAAACACCAGGGGTATTCCAATGAATTGCGCCTGCTGATATGCCGTTTTATTTAGTCCATTTACATTTTTATTTTATTTATTTCTCGTAGAAAACATAGAATACTACATTTTTCCCCTCAGGTCGAGTTCTCTAATAAACCAGTTCTTGGAAATCCATCTACGCTACTGCAAAGCAAGCACACATTTTTTCTATTATAAATAGCTCAAAAAAATGTGGTCCAAAAAATTTGACCGTAAGGTAACCTAACCGTAAAGGTAACACTAAAATTACCAAATGTACGCGGCTTACCGCAAATTGATCTATATACATATAAATATTGTATATATATTTATATATATATAAACATTATATATATATTTATATATTTATTTATATATACATATATATATATCTGTGTTTAATTCGATCCTTAAAAGCTCCACCTAAATATATATGTGTGTACATACATACAAGCCTACCACCGAAGGGTGGGAGTATAGTCGTTTTGTCATAATGTTTGCAACGCTTAAAAGGAGGCTTCAGAGATCGTGTTTCCTTGATTAGTATAAAATTCTGAATTGATTAAGCTATGGCTTTCTGTCTTTATGTAAATTTTTTTTAACAATACTTTCCAGCGAACAAAAAGATGTAAGATAAATTTTATCTCATTCCCTTTTTATAACCATAAATAAAACTATGAAGCGCTAAAGATATTAATGCTGGTGGGTAAATGCGAGTTCCGGATATATTGAATGGAATATACATGTCAAAAAGAAGTCCTATCGTTTATTGAAATTTAGTTATGTTCTACTATTCGCTATTTCTCACTTGCGTGCAGAGACCATCCATCTCATGCGTCTTTGATCATACTCTATGAACGATACCACGACTTGATACAACAATCTAAAGCTAAGCTAAGCGTATATAATCGTAATCGACAAATACAAATTTGAATAGATCAACACGACTTGTGGAAAATGCGCGATCTACTTCTTATAATATAAAATTTGTAGCAAGTACTCATATAAAACTCAATAGAAATATTTTCCAAGGCCATCTATAAATTTTACATGAAAGTAATCTTAATTGACAAATTGAGAGGTGTGTAAGTAGTAAAATATTATGCAACATTTGTATATTGGTTTCAGCTGATTTTTCCTCTTTGCTGTATATAAGTTTTCACGAGGAAATAGAAAGTTTAATATTCCAGGCATGTTTAAGGCATATTCGTGAGATCTTCCGACGAACTGCTATAACCAAGCAATTTTTACAATAAAAAATTATGATTATATGGGCGTTAAATTTGTATATCGATGCATTACAAATGTTTGATCAATATGGCATATTCTCAAACCTCTAGCGAGGATATTGACCGCGACCCGATCAGAACCATCTTCAATATTTATAATGCCATTATCTTGAAACAGGGCCCAAGAGCTTCCACCTACCACATATCCTAAATATTTAAATTTAAAAAAAAAAAAAGTAAATTTAATTTATTTGTATTTATACGCATTTTTGTATTACCCGCCCAATTTTGCTCAATTTCAATATTGATGTGCAAATGTGGTCAACTTAATAGATCCAATAACACTTTATTGAGGACGTTGTCATCATTTAACTGATTTAATAAGTTCAGATAGTTTTTTTTCGAAATTTTATATTATTTAAAACTAAGTATGTTCTAAAAGTTATATTTAAAACATCTGCAAAATAAACTTGCTTGTAGATCGCGTGTGGTGGACATAAATGTCGTTTAAAGATAGACAACAATTCTCAGTTTTATTTACTAAATTATTAAATGCGTTATGAACCGTCTAATATTACAAAAAATAAGCCACATTTATAGAAGAAGTTCAGGTTCTTTTGTCATTAGGTAGGCAAACATTTTTCCATTGAGATTATCACTGTTGACAATAATAAACTAGTAAGTAAATTGCTTTTGCAACTTGCCTTCTCTAAGCCTACTTCTATGTTTCCCTTGCTGTGTCCTGAAAGACATCGCAAGCCTTTTCGAAGTAAGGATTCGAGAAATTGCTCACGTTTACAGTGTAATTACGTAAATAATGATAAAAACGCGTAGAACGACGTTCTCCAGAAGCGCGTAATTTCTCACTGCGGCATATAGATCTCAACGAGGGCTCATAGTCCAAATATCGAGCGCGGATATTACGAAACTGATCGGGGCCTAGTTCCTCACACAAAGAACAACTATAAAAAATTCAATTAAAGTAAAAAAGAAATATTCAATACATTAAATAGTACCTTGATTTTATTGGAACGAATAAATTGTAGGGACAAGATTGAGCATCTAAGTTAATCGAGATCGCTTGCTCTAGTAGAAAATGGGATATATCTTCTGAAAGGTGTGGCACTAAACGATCGACAACCCCAAACTTTGACTTCATCTGATGTTCGCTACCGTTCAGCATACAGAGCTTACTGATTGCTTGCTTGTCGCATAGTGACGATATGGAGAGATTTTCATAAAATCTACATAAATTGTCAAGCGGTGTTACACAGCTACTAGTCTGTGTGGCACTATTAAGCCATTGCTTCTTCGGAGATCGGGATTTACGCTTAACAGTTTTTGAATTATTATCCGTTGACCACGTACCTAAATCCTGAAGCTTTTTCGATGCACGAAGTATATCAGTCAAATTTGCAGACAACAAATGAAAATCTACTGGACATGGTATAAGGCACTTACTATTTTGTCGTGCTGCATAGAATTCAAATAACGAACAATGCGTATAAATGGTGGACTCTTGGATCTCAGAATTGGTGTGTATTTCTTCGAAATCCGGCATTGCGTTTACAATGTTGCCTGTTTCTTGTTCTATAGAGAATTGCCTTTTGCGTGGTGAAGCAAAATAGCTAAAATTTCCACTGTCAACTTTAATCCGGCGTTTTTCCGAATTGTCGTTTGTTGATAATGATTTCAATTGTCGGCGGTCACCGCCGCTTTGTATAAAGAATTGCAATTCAAGTAATGTCCTCCTTAAATCAAGTTGATTATACAAATATAAGGAGATTAGATCATGCCTTCTTACAGGACAATTCTCTATTAGTGAAAGAATCGCCAAAAATTTTGTTATATTTAGAACATTCGGAGGTTTGAAATGTATTGTATTCTGCTGCATAAGCTTTTGTAGATGAGTACAATTTGGATTGGAGGCAACAATGATGACTGGTCGTTTGGAACTACCCGCCAAAGTGTAAATGGCATCAGTGAAACCAGAATCAGTTTGTTCAAAGACAACGTCGGCATCCTCAATCAATATTAAAGACTTCCTCGTAGTATTTCCTGCTGGATCCCCAAAATTTGAATCTGTTGTTAATTTTATAGAAGCCGAATTTGAACCCTTTCGCTTATTGGAAGCTTTTGACTTCAAACCGTTGAACGATGCTTTTAAGAGATTTTGACCAGGGCAATTAGCGACGCCTATAGAATCTTTACGAATCTGATGTGATTGCGTAGCTTCTTGTAAATCTTGTATTAAACGTTTCCCAGTCCTTTTCATGCCAGCGTTAATTTCTAAAACATTGAAATTCATTTCATTAGCTAAAGTGAAGACAGCGCTCGTTTTACCACTAGAAAGAGGACCCAGCAAAACCACTGTATTGCCGCAGAGTTTCTGTTGACTTGAGTAAGACTCATTCAGATCCATAAAATCAAAAGGATCAGTACTTTGATGATTGCGTCCATTTACCGAGCCATTGGTCCAGTATGATAAAAAATCTTTAAGTTGTTTTACAGGACTTAAATTAACCAACACTTGCTCAAGTAACAAAGGTTTATATTTTTCACTAAAAAGCAATTCTCCATTAGGTGCTGCCGTTGGAGGAGAACATTCTTCGTCTGATATTAATTTCGATTTAGTGTTAAGTAACGGCCGTCTTGCGTGACGTGTAACCATAAACGACTCTGTAACTTGTTCAGTATCCTGGGCAGAGTCGATAGCACTGAAAAAGCGATACTTTTCACGCATTTGATTGTAACATTTGTAAGTGCGGAAAGGTTCAAATTCCGCTTTCCAAGACTTAACAATTTCTCGTTTATTAGCCAAAATAGGTAAGGGGTTCAAATCAGCATTTATTGAAAAAGATTTTAATGTTTTTGCCTAGAAAAAATATAAAATAACTGCACATATAATTCTACAAGGCACCAAATATTGCAACTCACTTGAAAACCTTTCAATATGCAATCGGTTAAATTACTTCCAAAGGAACGCCTTGTAAATGACTGTATTCTATGACGTTGAGTTGATTGAAGAATATATGATGATTGTACTTCAGATCGTAGTTTAATTATCGTCATTAATGTTGAATCTTCCTTAATTAACATTTTTTGAGGTAGCTGTTGTATGTGCGAAATTTTGGGAAACAATTCTACAGCGCCCTCATAGTTTTGCTCGCATTGCTTCTGTTTTTCCTGCTCTAGACGCAATCTTTCAGGAACCCCTGAATGCAGAAAAGCTTGACGTGCCTTAAGTATTTCTGGGTTAATATCGGGTTTTGAAAAAGAACGTACGAATAAAGGCGCTAATTTTTTCGGAGTAGTTTGTGGTGCACTAGCACCGGTATCAAATTGTTCAAGGATGGTATCATCCAGGATAATAATGTTATTAGATTCTTCTTCCTTATCATTGGTCGAATCAAGTTCGTTCATTATAACGTTATATGCGTTGTATTTTTGGGTTCTCGGAGTTGCTTTTTGACTTTTTTCTAAATAATAATCGTAACGTGATTTACTTGCACATGATCTTCTGGGTCGGCCACTAGGCGTATCAGGTGTTACAGTACTTTTTACCAATGTATCAGTTTTTACCATAGAACTTTTTCTTTTTCGATTACGGGTTTCGGTACATAATGCACCTATAACTTTAGTTGTTTTTACGTTAGGTGATTCTTTTTTTGGAAAATAGCCCAAAAGACCGTTAGTTTTTTTTGTGGGCGAATTAAGTTTAGCGAGATATTCAATTGATTCTGTATCTATTTTTGATGTACTGTGGTCTAAGGATTCGTTAAAATCAACGGAAACATTGTATTTTTTCCGTGGTCTGCCAATTCGTTTCAAAGATTCAGATTCCTCAGATTTTACGGCAGTAGAGGCAGTTGTATTCTTCCCTCCATTAATCAGCATTTCCTTAAATCTTTACTATATATATTAGTTTTATAATAGAAACAATTTATCACTTTTTTACCTTTTAGCTTTCGCGTCTAATTGCTCCTCAACATATATTTCATGATCTTCTTCTTCCATTCTACGCTTGACGGCACCTTTCCTCTCATCCCATTCCTGAAGTTTACTTTTGCGTTTAACATTGAATTCCGAGTGCTCTTCATTCACGACGTCTGGCGACTTTTGCTCTTTACCTGGGCTATTTGAACCCCTCGATTTGTTGCGGGCATTCATCATAACTTCAAACGCGTTTGTGACGCGCATATTTTCCTCGCTGGTTTCACACTTTTCACTGCTTTCATCTTCAGTCAGTATTTCAGCAATTTCATTTCCATTATTTTTTTGCGTTATGCCGGATGAAAAGCTCTTTTTTGGAGATCTTTGAAAGTGTTGTAATATGGTTCCATTTCCAGAAGAACTCTGCAATGATACATTAATATTCTCTTGACTGCAACCTTCTCTTAATGGTGTTTTTTTTATTTTAACTCGTTCTTTGTGTCGATGTTTATGCTTGGACTTCTCCATTTTGCTCATACTATTTTGAGACGCTATATATTGTGTTGTCGTCGAGGCTTCCGTAAGGGTCATCTTCTTTTGCTCTTTCTTACGGCGATGTTTTTCTCGATGTTGTTTCTTCACTGTGTGTAAAACCTCTTCCATATTCTGCAGTATCATTTTAGAATCTACACGTAGACATGACGAGTTCGATGACACCTCAGGCGTTGTTGCGAAATTAACTTCAGAGTTGGCAGCCGGTTTTCCGTCTGCTTGAGCTACGTTGCTTTCAACGGTACGGGTAGAATTTACGTCAGTATTCATATTGTTCACGACATTTAATTTAAAAGTAACAATATCAGGACATATCTCCCAAAAAACGATATAGTTGACTTAAAACTAATAAAAAACAAATTGACCTAAAGAAGCAGAGATAGATATGCGTACAGTGCGTACCGTGCGGTTGAGAGCCTAGCGAGTAAAATGCACACCAAATATTCGGAGGAAGCAATAAAATACAAGTTTTTTTCAATAAAGAGCATATTTTTTTTAATTGTTGTTTGTAGAAATGAAAAATGTATAAACAAATCACATTATTACACGCAACGGTGTGATATTCGTACAACAAAATAGATTTCAATTTGACCGAAAACTTTTCACTTAGTGTATCATTAACAGTGTGCCTTCAAATTGTTGTCTAAATAATTTACTTTTGTTCACTAATATTTACGCAAGCAGAAATATTCACATTTTAAAATTGAATGCCTTAAAAACAACTCTTTTTACAGTTTCTCTCTCAGAGAATACTAAAATTACGATAGCTATTGATACAAATTATGTTATGAGAGAAAATTTATGAATAATAGCGCGGTAATGTTATACTATGACTTAGTCACACTATTTTCTTATCAATTTAACATTTAGAGTAGATTTAATATAGAGTTTTGTTGTAAATATCAGAATATTACATTCGCCTGAGTGGCCGAAGTCGAGAAATCTCGACTAGCAACTCACTGGTCGTGGGTTCGAATCTCAAGTGCGGTAGAGTTTTTAATAAAAACCGATATTTCTTGATTGTATTAAATATATGAAATAACCACAACAGAATACGAGGTTCATACACTCAACAACGAAAGAAGGCGGTATATTCACATTCGCAGAACGTTTGCGGCAACCATAAAGAAGCGTCAAAAATCCCTTAAAATATATACATTACCTAACCAGTGTCAAATATGGAACGCACTTAAACACGTTCGACTGTTAGTCTCTCTGTGCAGTTGTTCCTTTGTTCGAATGCACATTATCTGTGATAAACTTTCTTCGCTTCCCAAAAATGAAGATATCGCCCTCCAACATTGGAAAAAAAATTTGGAAATTACCCAACTGGATCAAAGGACACTCTCACAAAGCAACCTCAACTGAAAACCTTTTGCTTTCTAATATTTTTGCTAACAATTCATGGAGTATACATATTTTTAATCCCTTTTTTCTACAAAAATAGAAAAATTCATCTTCGCCCACTCAATATTAGAAAGTATGAAAGTTTAAATTTTCCTTCTTTTTTTAGTGGCTCTTTAGGAAAAGGGTGATAACGGTGTTGAAAATTCGATCACCGCCAAATATAATCTTCTTACTTTTTATAGAATTTAAACAAGGTATAGTCTTTTAAAACATTCTGGGGTATGGGGCATGCCTGCATATTTAAGTGTGGCAGAGTCTTTGGTTCGGGGGTATCCTCCAAAATACCCTAAGCAATCTGTTAACCATACCCACGATTACTAAATTATGCTTTTCGGGAGCAAGCAACACCTACCTGTTCGCTGTCTATTATACTGATGTAAAGAGAAAACTTTAACATGCAGCCAAAATTCTTAGCTACTTTCTTCCATTCATATTTGATAGGCAGTACTCTTTATACCAAGCTTTTTTTTTAATATTATAATAATATTAATTTTATAATATTTATATAATAGTTATTTTGCATATGTTAGTTGAGTATACTTACGTTGATTCCTGTAATTTCTTTATTTTTACCTCTCAAACGATATGATAAGGCAGAAGAGCGAAGATTTTATTAACTATTTGTAGCCTGAGATGCCCAATAAGCAGACACCGTTTCATTATGGTACGCCTTTGGCTTATTAACAATCATTTCAAAAGTTTTATCTAGATTCTGTTAAGTCTTATATCAAATGAATTGGCAACTCTAATCTTGATGAGTAAACACATTTTTTTTTCATTTTGACAATTATTTGGGGACTTTTTGTGTTTGTGATTTATTTGCTAAAAAGCAGAAATTGTGGAATAATAAACTTCTGTTATTATTTCACACAAATCACCAGAAATATACGTTTCTAAAGTAAAAACATTATTATCTTAAAAATTTTAAATTTTTCAAAAAATTTCAAGTGTTTACAAGTCAAAATAAAAAAATTTTAAAAAACTGGTAGAAAAAAATGGAAAATCAAGAAAATCCACCCACAGACGAGGATGAATCCCAGATGGATCCAGTTCAGTCAGTTAATGTGCATGTCAATAATGTAATATTCAAAGAACAAGTGACAAAAATTAACGGCAATCAGTATGAAAATATGTTTGCTGAAAAAACAAAACATGATGGCATACATGATAAATGTAAAATTTTACGAGGCAAATTGTCTAATCATTTACGTAGTGTTGAAAAGGAGCAGGAAGCAGCCAACCATTTTGGGAACATTTCGGCCACGAATGATCTTCGCGTCAATCAAGCAATGAAAAAATTGCGGATAAAAATATCTAATGCCACGACCAGTGAATCGCACACAAATGGAGGAAGTTGTATGACAAATTCGCACAAAGTAAACTACAAAGAGGTTTATGCGTTAGGAAGTCACAAAACAAAACAAGAGCTTCTAAAAATTGTCACAGGCCTTCAATTGTTGTTATCTAAATTGACAATAAATAATCATCCGTTAAAACGGCACGCACAACATCTTGCTCAGAATATACCACATTTAAAAGACTTCCCTTTGTTTGATATGCAATCAGATATTGATTCAAGACCCTCTACCTCAGCTGGTAACCGTAAACATTATGAATCCGACCCCTCTGTGAATAATAGACCGCGTCGAGATTCAGAGATGTCGAGCGTGAGTAGTGCGAGTACGCAAAAGGAAACAGCTGCCACGGCTACCAATGGTAAGACGAATGGTGAGGCGAAAAAGAAACGTAATCGGAAATCGAAAAATAAAGAAACGACTCAGGCAAGTGAACATGACTCGTTTACCAAATATGTGAACGATATTGTGGCTGAATATTTGGGTGAAAACCAAACGGAAAAAATTGAAAAGCTGAAATTTTCATTGAGTGATATTGATCATTTGGAGGCATATGCTCAAAATTTAGTGCAGGGAGGCTTAGGTCGTATTGTTGAAGAAGAGATTCGTATTAACCGTAAGAATAATCGTCAGGCTTTTGTTGCTCTGAACACTGACAGAGAAGGTGGTGAGAGGGATGGCTTTATACTATTACCGGTAGCACGGCGGTATGCTTTTGAAGGTGATGTTGTTCGGGCTTTCGTCATGAACTCCGGTGGCGGTGGGGGTTGCACGACTCAATCGCAAAACTCAAAGAAGGCTAGCAGAAAATCTGAGAACATATTTGGTGGCAAAGATCACTCATTTAGTTTACAAGAGGAAGAAAATATATATGATGATACTGAATCGTCCCCAGATACTGAATTAGAGGACGTAACCGATTTATTGGATACTTCAGCTGTTGTGATTTCCGACAATTGCCCTAAAGCATTTGTTATTTCAATCGTGAGGCAAACTGAATTGCGCCAAATTGTCGGTACCATTTGTTTTAAAAGTTCAACCAAACTACTAAACGAAAAAAGTTATTATAAATTACGACCGCATGATATGAGAGTACCTATGATGTATGTCCCTGTGGAATCATGTGCTGACCATATAACGCCGGAAAACAAAAGTGAAATTTGCGGCATATTGTACTTGGCTCAAATTTTGGAGACAGACATTAACGGTCGTTGCATAGGCGAGCTATTGCGGCCGGTTGGCAAAGTAGGTAACTTAGAGGCTGAAATCAAAGCTATATTACTGCAAAATGGATTAAAGGATGTGCAGCCATACGATCAAAAATATCAAGATATGTTTGATAGACCTTTGTCACCTATCAGCGATAAGGAATTAAGTACGCGTCTGGATTTGCGACAGCAATGTATATTTACGATTGATCCGTTGACAGCTCGGGACTTAGATGATGCCGTTTCTATAGAGAAAATTAACGACAACGAATACGAAATTGGGGTGCACATTTCGGATGTGTCACATTTTCTGCTCGAAAATAGCGACTTAGATAATATTGTAAAGGAAAGAGCTACCTCAATATATCTTGTTACCGAAGTAATACATATGCTACCTCAGTCCTTGTGTGCTCGTTGCTCATTATTGCCAGGCGAAGACAAGTATGCATTTTCGGTATTTTGGCGTGTGAATTTGGAGGGTGAGCAAATGGGTAAACCACGATTTACGCGCTCTCTGATCAATTCGTGCTCCCAATTTGCTTACGAGCACGCCCAAAAAATTATAGATAATCCAAATGAAAACTTTGATGTTCACGACTTGCCAGAAATTCACAATAATTGGACACCTTCAGATCTAAGGTGGAGAATTATAACTTTGCATAGGATCGCACAAAACCTAAGAGCTCAGCGCTATGAGAAAGGTGCTTTATCGATAAATAATCCCAAATTGCATTTCACTCTCGATGCTGTAAGTGGTGAACCGGTGTCCTATGAGGTCGAAAGCCGAGAGGAAGCCAATTTCCTTATAGAGGAATTTATGTTATTGGCCAACCAATCGGTAGCCCGTTTTATATATAATCATTTTCCGGATACTTCAATACTACGTAATCATGCGTCTCCGCTTTCAAAATCTATGAAAAGTCTACGTGAACGCCTATTATCTTTGGGATTAGACTTTGATATTAGGTCTTCAAAAGCAGTTTACGCGAGTATGCAACGCCTATGTAGAGAAGCGAGTGATCCGAAAGCCATGGATGCATGCTTGAATACATTATTGACAAAACCAATGGCTCGTGCTCGGTAAGTGTTCTTTCATGTAGTTATAGAAGTTGACTCACGCTTGCTTGTCCTTGCAGTTATTTTTGTAGTGAAGGCAAGGCTGAGACTGAATTTTGGCACTACGCTTTATCCATACCAATATATACACATTTTACTAGTCCAATCAGGCGATATCCTGATATTTTAGTGCATAGGTAAGTCTAAGCAAAAGATTTATATTAGCCTTTGCTTTTATCAAACGAACTTAGGTATTTCGCTTATCACCTACACATTTATCATTTAGTTACCCTCTTGTCATTGCAATATTTTTCGACTTTTGTACACAATATTTGTCATATCGATTAAAAGATGGTTTATCATATTTATATTTCAGTAGCTATCAAGTAGAATAAAGAACATAATAATTTATTTGTTAATTTACCGGATAAAAACGTTATTCAAAAGTTAGTCGAATCAATTAGTAATAGTCGATTTTTAAAGCTTGGAATGCGTATGTCAAGTCTTCATTTAGTGTACGAAACTCCTTTAAGATTTTTTCCTCGCCATCTCTTGCCGAATCCTTGAAAAATTTTCTCATTACCTTTTTTGATTTAAAAACATTTTACTTTCATCCTTTACTTACCATAAATTTCATTGAAGACAATCGATATAATAAACTGCCCATAAATTGTTGTATCTTACTCCATGTGATCCGATTTTCCATTTGAGCTGTTTTTTCAACGGCGTTTCTTGCTAAGTCGTAGAATGCGATCATATTTTTTAACATTCCGAACGTCTTGTAAAAGGGGCAGTAGCAATCGTATGGCGTGTAAGAGTTTTGCTGCAAAAAATCATCTTTCAGCATTTTGGCTACTTCTAATGTGATCTTGTCAGTTTCAGCTAAGGATGCTTTGCCTACCAACTGTACAATTTCGGATAGATCTTCTTCTTCCTGTAAAATTTTCCGTGTTTTGACACGTAGCGGTACGAACCCAGGGAAGTTTTTCTCGTAATAATCATCTAAGGCTCGAGTATATTTTGAATAGGATATTAACCAATTAACAGATGGGAAATGTTTACGTTGCGCTAGCTTTTTATCCAGGCCCCAAAATACTTGGACAATACCTAAAGTTGCCGATGTTACGGGATCGGAAAAATCACCGCCTGGCGGGGACACTGCACCAACGATTGTTACACTACCTTCTCGTTTCGGATTTCCTAGACATTTGACACGCCCACCACGTTCATAAAACGAAGCCAATCTAGCTCCTAAATAAGCGGGATAGCCCGAATCAGCTGGCATTTCAGCCAAACGACCGGATATTTCACGCAATGCTTCAGCCCATCTTGAAGTAGAGTCTGCCATCATAGAAACATTAAGACCCATATCCCGAAAATATTCAGACAGAGTGATCCCAGTGTAAATTGATGCCTCTCGTGCGGCGACCGGCATATTAGAAGTATTAGCGACTAAAGCGGTACGTTTCATTATCGACTCGGTAACACCATCAATTTCGATGGATAGTTCAGGAAAATCACGCAGTACTTCAGACATTTCATTGCCCCTTTCACCGCAGCCCACATAAATTATAACATCCGAGTTTGAATATTTGGATAAGGCTTGAGAAATCACTGTTTTTCCGCAACCGAAGGCGCCTGGTATAGCAGTAGTGCCACCCAGAACGGACGGGAACAGTGAATCTATAACACGTTGGCCTGTTAGCAAAGGAACGTTGGATGGCCATTTTTCCGTGACCGGGCGAGCCTGACGTACTGGCCACACTTGTAACATCGTATGACTTGTCTTAACCTCGTCGTATTCAGTCTCCATAACAACATCATTTAAAGTATAATTTCCAGGCGGAGCTATGAAAGTTATGCGACCTTTTGAACGAGGATGTAACATTAACCGATGTTTTACCAAAGTATTTTCGTAGACTACGCCATATATATCACCTCCAGTTAGATTACAACCTACACGAACTCCAGTGATTGGGGTGAAATCCCAATTAATATCGCGTGGCAAACTTGCAACATTGATACCCTTCGGTATAAAAATCAGTTCAGTGACATCACGTATAGAACGCAAAGGACGTTGAATGCCGTCAAAAATATTACCCATTATACCTGGGCCCAATTCAACAGAAAGTGGCTTGCCGGTACGTAAAACCGGATCACCCACCGTCACACCAGAAGTATCTTCGTAGACTTGTATTGTAGCCAGATCACCTTCTAGACGGATAATTTCGCCGACTAATTCAAAGTAGCTCACTCTAACTAGTTCGTACATAGCAGCCCCTACCATATTTTCAGCTGTCACAACTGGTCCAGACACACTATAAACACGTCCAAGACTTTTCTCGTCAACATCATCATAAATTGATGGTCTCCCGTGACGGGTGCGCTTCGCTGCTTGATAACCTTCGCAGTTTATTGCAATTCCAGGATCGAATTTTCCGCTTTTATCGTTAATAGTAACAGTTTCGCTTCTGTTCCCTTCATCGCGTTTTTCTTTTGTCTCTGACGATAGCAAACTTTGATCATTTTCATCGTCATCCATTTTACTCTCGCACAATTAAATTAATTCTTATTTACAAGCAGCCGATATAGTTGCGTTCAAAGTATTTTAGATTTTCAACAAAATTATTTTGAATTCAGAATTTCATAATTTTTTTTGAATTTCTTCGGTGAAAATTATTTTGACACTGAACGCACAAGGTAGTTGCGATGCTATCCGTTATTGTGAACGTTTTGAAAACACAGAGTTGCCTTGCAATGAGAAAAAGAAATTCTTAATAATTCCTTAATAGTTTTTTTTATTATTATCTTGCATATTTTTTAGATTATTGGCTGCTGCCCTCAACTATTGCCCGCCGCCTCAACGCACCAGCGAAGAATTGCATTATTTGGCTAAAGTGTGTAATGATCAAAAGTTTAACGCCAAAAATGCGGGTGATGATTCTGTTAATCTATTCTTTAAACGTTATATCAAAGCCAAACAGTCGCTAACGCTCAAGGCTGTAGTTACTGAGATCTATCAGCATTTAGTTAATGTCGTGACGATCGAAACGGGTCACACTATTGCGATTAATTATAAAATGCAAAAAGTGCTTGTTGATACCACGCATGTGCCCTCATATATTACGGTCATTGAGAAAAATTCTACAAAGCCCCCGATAAAATTACAACTTTTCTCAACGATTGAGATCAAGTTGGTCGTTTGGGATAATAAATTGTGCGGTTTTTTGGCTTCCCCGGATCCTAAACAACGACATTTGAATAGCATGGGATCATCTTCGACCTCAGCAAAAAAGGAGAAACATTATTATAGCATATCTACTAATGATATGAACGGTGACAATATTCATGTAACAGCAAAAAATCGCCCCAATAATGCTGTGTCCGAAAATGAAGATAGTAGCAAACCAACTACCACTTCCAATTCAATCAGCTCAAGACCGTGTAAGAAAAAGAAGAAAAACCGCAGAATATATCAATGGCATACGATGCCTTCTGAAATTCCCGAACCTAATTAATTTGATTAATATTACATTTGTCACTTTTTTAAAAGTGACATATGTATGCGTCAAGGCGCATTTTTGTGAGCGTATGAAATTCATATTTTTAAACACATATATTTTTACCTATAAAATTTTATTTTAAACTCAAGTAATAATTAGAAAAAAAAATCACAAGGACAGGATAGTAAAAATTATCTATCTTTTTTAAACTTTAGAGTTTACTCGGACTTTTTAACCGCGTAAAATATATGCCGCAATTAAACGAAAAAAAAAAATTATTGTAAAAGACAGATTAAATTAAATCCGATGAGAGAAACAATTGTGAATGGTAAAAATTTCAATTCTGCTTTGTTTTAATACTACTGTAATATTTTCTGTTTGTTTTAATTTTAAATAAAACAAATTGTTCTATTTTCAAACGCATACAGAATTTACGTTGATTTTCCCTTATAGTATACCGCGAGTTAAACATTGGACATTTTTTATAGTAAAAATTGTAAAGTTAATAGATCGCTTCGGATCATTTTAGATTAATCAGTTTACATTAACATTTAAGAGCTTTTAATTATAAGTATTTTAATCTACTTTTTTTAAAAGTATTGTTCCGCTTCTCATTCGAACTTTATCAAATCGTTTAATGAAATCAGCGAACTTACATATATTAGGTAAGTTGATGAAGTTCGATTAAGATACGGACCGAAACAACCTATTGTTTTGTGTTTTGTATTATGAAATTTTGACGTTTAAAATGTTATCGCAAGAATATTATATGAGCAAAATGTGATATTTAAACTCGCTCCTTATTCGAATTTCCAGTCGTTTACTCAAGCTTATCTTCTCTTTGTGAATTCAATGCCTTTTTCATTTTCGATTAAAAAGCAATCCGAAATTTGTAATCTTCCCCAGAGACGTTTAAACGTGTTGTATTGCGTGAGTAAGTGTCCGTCAATTTTCTAGTAAAAAAGTTCCCGATATCGTAGATTTTCGTGGCGAACGATTCCTCAACTCCGTGTTATAGTTATTTGAGCTTAGATATCATAATGCATCCACTGCTAATCGCTCGTAAAGACTTGACAGCAATATCGTTTGAATTGAACAGAAAAAGCAAAGTTTTCCATAAATTGTCTTTTTTGGCACCAAACTATACCTATTTAAAGCTCGAAGAAACTATTTTTTTTGTATCGCTTTAGTATGCTAACTATCGCTTTAGTATGCTATCTATGCATATTACATATAGCTTAAAGCTAGTGCCTTTAAGTGAAGAAGTCGCACTTGTTTTTCAGCGGTATACAGTATTCGATGCGTTTTCTCCTAAAAGAAAGCCAGAATGATATCCACACATCCAAATTTACATCTCATGAGTAAAATCAATGACTGAGTTAAACACTTTGGTGAAGTTTGATTAAGAAATTGAAATACTTCATCCTGCGATCGCTATTAATTGATTTAGTTCTTGATTAATATTTTATTTCCAGGTACTCTTCATAAAAGTAAAAGTCTTATGAAACAATTTTAAGGCCATTTACTTCAATAAAACCTTAAATAAACGAAAATTCCTTGGAATAGATTGTGTTTTATAGAAGTTTTTTAGCTTCTATAACCGTGAAAATAAATTGAAAAACCCTTTAATGGACTACACTACTGCCATATAATATTAATAACAACGAGAAAATAAATCTCTTGCAATTCTTTCTTTCACATCATTGTTAATAGCAGCAAGCATTAATCTGAGGGTTTCTGCTTGAAAAGAACAAAGATTATGTATGTTTTAAAAGGAAATTTTATATTAGAGACCAATTGTTATGTTTTTATAATAGCAAATTAAATTTTTTTAAGTTTAATAAGAGATTTCTGATTGTGAACATTATTGCAAACCAGTTTTCATAGTAATAAAAGTATGCGTCCCTATTGAGATAATTCGACAAAAATAAATGATTAATAATAATAAATTTATTTCAAATTTTTATTGAATTGGTCAATTATTTTACAAAGCAATTACAAAATTCGTAGCTTATACTCCTTGCAAATGCTTCCAAATATTTAATTGGCCAATTAGAATCAAACTCTGTAGTAAATCGGAGTGGAGGACCACATCGTACATTCGTTAAAATTTCATTACGAATGTATGTACAGACTTAACATTTTTGGGATTGCGAAAGTTTGGAACACCTTCATTTTTAAACGAAAATATCTGACAGATAGATAGATACCCATCACAATACATCAATATATAAAAATTATAAAATATTTTGCTTGATGTGAGCTTATCATCTGTCATTATTCTAATAGGCAGTGAGTTATAGTTTTTTTTCCCCTTAGTGGATCACGCCAATATTTTGACAAATGTGTTTGCGCTGACTTCTAGACCAACAATTGTTGCGAATGATAAATTGTTTTTGTCCGTTACAAGGGTGATTATGGACGCGTAATAGCACAGTGCATAGGCAGAAAGATTGACCGCATTAAACTCATTTAGGGTATTGTTATGAAAATGCCATATTTGACAATGTGAGTTTTCATAAAAATTATTTTCTAGGACACAAAATTCTAAACGAAGTGGAAAACTTAAAAAAAAAAGCTTAACAACAATTGATAGAAATTTAACGGGAAAATGGATTAACGGATTAAAAATGTCGCGATCAATTTAGATAATGGTGACTTGCTTGTGAAAGGGTATATAAGTACAATATTTGCAGAAACTCATTCAGAAAAAAGTGGAGTCAAGAGAGTTGAATCTAATATTAAAGGAAATAAAAGCGTTGTAAATTTAAATTCATGAAAATAATTTGTAAATGGATTTGCTCAGAACTTTTCTCAATAATTGCCTTTTTTAAGTCAAACAAGTAAGAAAGTTGTACTCGGCGGGGCCCATCATAATTAACTTAGAATAAACACACTTAGCTTTTCGCATTCTGTTCTTCAAGTTCTTCTACTTATACTGATATCACTAGTATTATTAAAAATAAATTAATAGCGGGGTTTATAACATTCATTTTAGAATAAACCCATTTTTAAGCAGATAATATATATTAATTTGAGGAATATACAAAATAGTTTTAAACATTTTGTCTTATTTGCTTTGTGATAAATAAGCATAAACCTTCCAAAAAGTGAAAAAAATTTAATCATTAGTAACTTTTGTGTGGGAATGGCTGATTTTTTCCCTTCTTGCCGGTAATAGTAGAGTGTTTCGTAAAGTAAATGTGGAAATTATCAGCCTACTAACTTCTATAATTTTTCAATAACGAGCACAAATATTCGTTCAGAAAACCGGACTTGCGTTCAGTTTGCGCTCCACTGCGAGCTCCTGCTGTAACCAATTCAACCCATTTTCAATACCAACCTGCGTGCAAAAGCTTCCAATGTTTCTGTCGAAGTTGAAGTCGATATTTTCATTTTTGCGACCAGAAGAACGTCAGCAACATACACCACACAGACGGGCAGACATGGCTTAATCAACTCAGAATTTCATGCTGATCAAGAGAATATATATATTATATAGGATCTCTGAGGCTTCCTTTTTGGTGTCACACACATTATGAAAAAAAAACAACGTGAGTATATCCCCCACGCTTCAGGTATAAAAATAACCAAAATTAACGCAAGCACCTTTTAGAATGAACAATAGGTATTCAAATATGAAAACGGAAAAGTGGAGAGAGGCAAAAGAAGAGTTTTTTTGGCAATTTTTTTCGATGGAAGCGAAAGTAGCAGAATAATAATATTTGAGGAGGTTATTATGCATAATCTTCAAGTATAAGAAAAAAATTTTTTTTTTGAAATTTTAGTAAATGGTAGTATATTTAGCTCAACAGCGTCTGCCCCAAAACAGCACCACTTGTCCAAATTTGAATTAAAAAAAAAAAAAACATTTAATTTACATATCTATATCTAGTGAAATACATAAGTGTTTTTGAAAATACATATTGATTTTTGCGTAATTTATTTATTTATTCACACATGAAACGTGGCTGAAATAAGTTAACAGTCGGATCCAATTGACTCTTAGAAGTAAATCTTGTGCTAATTATTATTAAAAGCTAGTACAAAGTAGATAAGGAGAAGTAAAATAAAAATAATAATAATAATTCATGTATAAATAAAAAAGAAAGGAACAAAGAAAAAAAGCATCTACATAACTAGCACAGAGGCACACCCACAGATACTATAGATCCAAATTTCAAGTGGACGCCTAAGCCATTGCAAACATGCAAAAGATTGGCACCCCATAACAGAAAACAACACCAGTTAATTTTCCAATCATGGTGAGATGCTAAGATTGCAAGTTAGTTTAAAAACCACATAAGCAAATCGCGCCAGTTAAGCGTAGTTCTTTTGATATACTTTAAAGGATCCGATATTGAAATTAAGTGATAGATATCATTTATGTTTCTGCAAGCAACTTTGAGCGAGTTAAGCAGCTCATAAGTGGTAATGGAAATTAAAGTTTATCTCAACAAGCAATGTGGGCGAATCGATTGTACCATTTATTAACTTAATTAAGTCTTTCGGTAATGTAAGAATCCTTACGCTCTTTGGATCCCCTCTTAATGAAACTTAGCGCGGACATAGTTTTACGTAAAGAGATGTGCAAATCAAAACGTAATCATTGGTGGAAATAGAACGCGTAAATCGATGAACGGATCTGCTTGTGTTAATCGACGAAATTTTATAAAATTTAACAAGCATCATATAACCAATTATTTAAGTCAATTTGAAGCTGATACGATTGAGATTCCAAGGAGAAGGAAGAAAACAGTTTAACATCGTTTAACATTAAGATATGGCTGGATTTAACCGATTTAAGCGAGGGGAGATTATTAATGTTTATATCAAATAAAACGGGTCCTAAGTGGTTACCTTGAGGGACGCCGCACGTCATGGGAAACTCATCCGAGGTGATGAAGTTAAACAGAATTCTGAATGGTCTGTTATGAAGATAAGAACCTATACATTTCACAAAGTATAAAGGGAAGCCAGAGGCTTGGAGTGTGAAGATTAATAAGTTATGGTTAATTAAGTTAAACGCTTTACTAAAATCACTATATACGACATCCGTGCAAGAGTCACTGGAAAAAGTCTTGAAAACATGGCAAGTTAACTGTAAGAGATTCGTAACAATGGATCTTTCTTTTAGCAAAAGCTAAATGCTGAGTAAAAATTCGTTTAAACAATTCAGGTAAGTCACCCAACTTGGTAATGCCTCTATAGTTCTCGCCGTGAGGTCTATTTCCACATTTATGAAGCGGAATAAGGAAACTATTCTTCCAACACAAAGGGAAAACACCTTACTTCAGGACCTGATTAAAAATCTTTGAAATAACACCGCACAGCTCGTTGGAACACGATTTGGGTTTACATGATGGAATGGCACCAGACCCAGACGCAAAAATATATCAAAGAGACCTCAAAGTATGTTAAACTTCGTTTTCTGCAATGACCAAGTTAGGAAACGGAACCGAATTGGTTATAAGGTAGGGTTAGTTAACATTTAAATCCGAACCAGCAGCTGAAAAGTTCCGTTGAAAGTATTCAGCATAGAGATTTGGGATTTCAATATCATCAGAGTACTCGCAGCCATTGAAAGAAGACTGCGAGGGATATGAGATTTTTTTGAAGTTGAAAAGATTAAAAAAATATTTTGGATTAAGAAGCAGCGAGGATTTCATCAGCTGAAAGTATCTACAATAATATTGGTGGTTGAGATAATTAAATCGGTGCTTTTCAACAGAATAGACGAAATAGTCATAAGCAAAACCAATTTCCATAAACTTCTTGAAAAGTTATTTTCCAATTTTTGTAATATTTAATACTTTTCTTAACCCCAAGGCGGGCACATGCTTGGAAGGCGATGTTGTTTGATCGGAACGAATGCAGAAATAGCTTGATTTTATAGATTACAGAACAATGATAATTAGGTTGTAATATTCCCAGTCGAAAAATCGAGCATAAAGTGTGAAAGATTAGGTTTAAGCAGTGAGATATTGGTTTTATTAAAATTAAAATGTTTATTTGAGGAACTTTGACAAATTAGAATGGTTCAATTGACCATCATGCCTGTGATGAAAGGAATTGCAAATTGCTGGATAATACGTATTCTCAGGTAAACTAGAAGGAGTACAGCAATTTACAGCTACCTCCGTGAAGCTGGTACAGCAAAGACCAAACAGACTACCATTGCAATTAGAAGTATGGTTGTATTGAAGTACATTAGGATCAAATAATTTATTAAATAACACAATAGCTCTATCAGATGTTGAAGTGGGGACCATACAGCCAGAATTATCACTATAACACCAAGTGACTTGTAGCAAATTAAATTCCCGCGACTCTATGCCAATATCGGTAGGTTTAAACTTTTCGGCCTCTTCACAAGTGAGGCAGCATGTTCTTTATAAGTAGAGATATCCACATTTGGTGGAATATAGGAGCGAGTTACATATAAGTGCTTACAGGCAATTTTCGCCCGAATGACAATAAATGCAATGTCAGGAGGAGTGGGAAATTCATAGAACGTGGAGTGGGAAATGAATAGGACGGGATTGCAGCAGATATGGCAATTAAAACACCACCATCAGTGCGGTCCAATCGATAATTTCTAAAAACGTGGAAAGAAATGTGAAAAACTTGCGATGAGTGTAAATCAGGCTTTAATCAGCTTTCCCTGCCAGCCAAACAGAAAAACTCGTTGCTCATTGAATTTAGGAAAGTAGATCGAATTTTTTGCGTTTGGCCCCTAACATTTTGGTAAACGAAAGTTACTGGGTATGCATAAACATTTATTTTCTTTTAAGAGTGGAAGAACTACCGAATTAGTATTACCGGGATGTTCCCAAGGAGTGAATTCCTTCATTAAGGATCCAACTGGCCACAATGGTTTTTTTTAACAAGATTTCCATATCCTCAGTCGGAACCAACACCTTAAAAGACGAAATGGCTCTATATTGAGATGGAGCCAACTTGAAAATGCTAACAAACTTCAAATTGTCGGATGAGACTTTTGCCGCAAGACAACTTTGTATGTTATCTTCAGAGGTGTCAGGCATCAGCTTTCACACGAATATTGCCTTTCTGGATGGTGTTACCGTCAAGCAAACGTAAGCCCTATTAGGAACGACAGGATTCACAGGTAGAGAATTTTGAGTTGGGGAGAAAGTAAAGGGAATGGCTACACTTACTTGTGAAGCTTGTGGGACATGCTCAGCACTCGAACAGGTAGGGGAGAGGCGGATTTATTCCTTTTATTAATATTCTTTGGATACTTAGAGAGAATAGCCAGAGTGACGCCATTGAGAGGAGATACCCTTGCCACATCAGCATAGATAAAGTGCTTCCCGGCTTATTTGTAGCTTATGTGTTAGCAGCTGAGTAGAGGAAAGATTAATGTTCTTTGTCGGAAGAGATGAACCCACATATGAGATTTAGGCGAGGACGGAGGCGAAGTACCGCGCGGTACACGACGAGTTAGCCTTTTACAGGCTGGGGGAGAAAACGACAATCATCGAAGATTGGCTTAATTTTTTCAAACTTTGCGCACAATGTCACGAGACTTTTAGTTAATTCAAAAAACCATTCCTCGTCTCCATGAAAAATTTATAAAATTCAACTTCCGCTTGCTAGTGTCGGGACATGAGCAACATAATCCTGTCGAAGGATCAAGGATTGCATATGCAGCAAGGCTTATAATACCTGCTGCCACTTCGTATGACAATAACGCTCGCAAACCTAACATGTAATGAATCGCTTAGAATCAGGGTCTGTTTTGCTTCAACATGATTTAAACAAACATTCCATGTCAGAAAGTAGCAGACAAAATAGAGGTAGTGAAAGAAAGAAAAAACAGAAAATGTTGCCACGTATTCAAAAAATCTCTTAAATTAGACTCAAACTTCACGCTATCAAAAACGCAGTAAACGAAGAGAAAATCTGTAAACGCCGCAAACCAACACAAACCTTTGTAGGCAACAACACGCAAAAAGCTATTATTATTATTATTATTATTATTATTATTATTATAAATTTAGCCAGAGAATAAATTCTAAGACTAAAGTCTTAAAGCACTAGCAACTAGGGCTATCGGCTGTTATTAAAAAACTCTACCGCACTTGAGGTTTGAACCCACGACTATTGAGTTGCTAGTCGAGACCCTTGCCTACTCGGCCACTCAGGCGGATCGCAAAAAGCTAGAAAGGGACTTTTCGACGAAACTAAAATAAAAAATAAAAGAAGAAATTACGCAATTTTTGCAAACAAAGTAAAAAATATGACCATAGCGCTTGCGGAGAGTTGCCAAACCAACTGGCGAGTGTTTGAGTGAAAAAGTTTAATTTTCGTCCAAAAATCGGACACTCTTCTCTTGATAAAATTTGTTTGAATTAATTTTTTGAAAAAAGTCACACTTTTCACTAGAGAATGTCGAAGGAAGAAAAATAATTAATATTGTTTTTAAAATTAATATTGTTAACTAATGCTGATTGCCGATTTCAAAAGTGTTTCGAGATAGATGCGTGTAAAGTTTTGATCTGTGTTATATACTTTTTTATCACAATAAATTTTTAATTATTTTTTTTTTATTAATACGCAATTCCGTGGTCATAAAATTGCCCTACCAAGTTCAAATATTTCTCCTCATTCTCTTCTCTTGAAGATTTTATACTTCAACCTCCCTGGTTTGCAGCATCTAGCAAAGTCCGCTAATTTCCTTGATCCGGCTATCGTCGGCTTAAATCCAAATATTGGATGACTGAGTACTGGATATCCATTTCCAAACCGTCGTTAAGTTGCACACAACAATGCTAATCGCTATGTCCAAGACTTCAAGGTAAAAAGAAATTTTTTTCCATGTATTCTAGAAGGGTCAAAACATATATTAAGCAAAAATAAAAAAAAAATTGAATAATCACAAGTTTCTTATATGACAGTGGTCGACACAGCGCGAAAAAAAACAAACGGAGAACATCTACGTAGAAAAAGGGGAAACCGAATTTAAACAAAGTTTAAGAAACAAGGATGACAACTTCATTTTTTATTTAAACTTTCTAGGTCTTTTTTAATCTTTCTCAAAAATGTTTCCTTGTAAGCTTTACTTGATTATACCCTTTTTATTTAGCGTACCAACAGATAAAAGCATTGAAAATAAATATTTGAATCATTTTCGAATTTTCGTCACGCATTAATGAAAAAACGTAACCTTTATAGCTATTATTTCTATTAAATACGGGCATTTCATAACAATATTTTACTTTATTTTCTCTTTGAATACGCTAGTCGACAGCGAGTCTTTTGATCGATTAGTTTTTCATACGATAGTAAGAAAAATGCATACTTTATCGACTGCCGTAAACTCGGTACATCGACTCGATAATTGAGTTTACTCGATACCGAGAACTGTAGACCGAACTCAGGTGTTTTGCAATTTTTTTTTATAAATATTTACCATTTAATATGATTATTTTACTAATTGATTTTCTCTCTCCTTCTCCTTCTGTATGTGATATCTTGAGAAAAATGGTACAATATATATTAATAAAAATATTTGTCATCATATTCAACTATTTCTGGGAACGTGGCGATACCGTTTTAAAAGAACGATATTGATTTGGTATGTTTGGCGTGGGATATGCTTAGCAAAACGTGATCGCTATGAATATTCCACTTCAGTGTGGGGTGGACGGCTCTACTGGACTAACTCATGCCTTTTTGCGCTTGCGATTATTATAGTAGACCTACTTTTCATCGCCAACCACAATACGCCACAGAAAGCTCCTCTTTTTTTTGCCTGGCAAGCAATGAAACCGCGATGTTAAAACGAATCAAAAAAGCATTTTCCGTCAATTCGTATGGTAGCCAATTTCCTATATAAACATTTAATAATCGTTGATTTATCAACTGCTAGGCCGTTTGAAAGTTTGAGCAGGGCTTCCGTACTATATGTCATGCAACTCATTGTCTTCGAGCAACAGACTAGCATCTCTATGCGCTGATTCACTCAATAATATGAAATGGAAAACTACTATCTTATGTAGTGCAATGCAAGCACCTATTATATATTACCATACGCTAAGTATGATACTACTATAAATATTAAAAATTAATGTAAGTCATCCATCCAAATAGTTCGTATTATAAAGAAGATAAATACCATTTTATATTTTGTTTACTTCTAATAATGATTTTATCCTCAACGACTCATCGTGATGTCAGTGTAAAGATCAGATAAAAATTTGATTTCATTATTTCCTGAATATCTGGCAATTTATTATATGTATATTGATGATCATTTTTTTTGCAAATTATATTATAATATATTTTTAACTTATTTTCAAGAGTAATTGCTTAATAGTAGCTTTAAACCGGTCTGTACGCCAAAGAAAACAAAAAAAAAGGAAAGCTATAATAATATAAATCTTTATTTCATCTCTTTAATTAAAGCTTTTATTACTTAAAAATAGTAAATATATTTATTTCCGAATTCGTTTCAATATTTCAACTAATTTAAGCCCGCTTCATGTTATTATCACACTAGATGCGATGTGCTAAGCTCCAGTAAACTTATGAGTTTTAATAACTTACAAATCTGGATATAGTCAGTTCAACTGAAAATTTTTATTGCTTCTCAAGCGTGCATAAATATGCTGTTACGTATGGTTTAAGAAAGTTAATATGACCTCCTATATTCCGGTTTAGAAAGAAAAAAAAATTTGAAGAGAATTAGCATTGCTTGCGAATTACGAAATCAAAATGATTTTCTCTTTTTTTATGTGATGCAGTGCATGCGGTGTTAAACCGCATTAGTATAAATCGGGGTGTATATATAATTATTTGATTTAAAGCAAAATAATTTTTCATTTGGTAGTAACTAATATAAGCTCTGGTAAGTTTCAAAAATTGTCAATTACGCTGCAAACTTACATTGCCATGAAGGTTATTATTTTATTTGGTAAGGGACAACTTCAGATTATTTGGAACGATTTTCGAAAAAAAAAAAAAACACTAATCAATTAATGGAATATATTTACAGTTTTTATAATTACTGCAATCAATGCTAGACCACAAGAATCTACCGGCCAGACCACAGTTACGTCAACGACTGCAACACCGACAACGGACTCACCACGTTTTCTAACCTGTTGGCAATCATGTCCATCAACTATGCAATATAACCCCGTTTGTGGGACAGATGGTGTCAATTATCATAATTCCGGGCGTTTAGATTGCGCTAGACGCTGTGGCAAAGGTTAGTTGGTAACTAAACTGATTTCATTATTCATACATGTTTTTAAGTAACTATTAATAAATTAAATGCATTAACTAGATGTTACAGCAAGACGATTTGGAATATGCGGCGCAGACTAACTTTAAAGGAAACTTTTTTTCTTTCCTTGATAAAATCATAAATACTACAAATATAGAACAATTTGGAACAAATGAATTAAATGAATTAAAACTAAATTTGGCAACATGCTGATTACAAAAAAAAAAAAAAAAAAAAAATGTTCATTGTTTGGAAATTTGAAAAGATTAGGAAGAAAGACAAGTCATAAGTCAAGTTCATATTGTATGATGGGTTTTAAATTGATAGGTGGTACATGATTTTGCGTGATCGAAATTTGGCTTTCCCCTGGTAATGAGATATTTCTCAACGGAACCCTTTTGAAAGCAAAAACTTTTATCGGTCTTCTAAAGCGACCGTAGTAAGTAAGCGAAGAGATGGTTTATCAAATGCAATACCGTCTGCTGCTAAAGCATTGTAGCCGTATGGTCGATTTTGGAATCTATTAAATTTGTTAAACATATTTATCGGCTACACACACGCAAATATCGCCAATAAATCTCATAAAGGGCGAACAGTGCATTCAAAAAATATAAAATTTATTCTTTTTTAAATGACTTCGTCCAATTGAAAAATTCATTTTAAGGAAACTTGTTTCTGTTTCATCTTTTTTTTTTTAAATTTTCTAAAAGGTTACATTAGATCTATCTAACACTTGTGATATTTGAAAACATGAAGTATATATATGTACAATACATATATATATTCTTAACTAAAGTAAATAAGCATATCTGTCTGCCACCATTATTATGTTTTCAAGATTTTTGCAGAAAACTCAGCATACTATACTACAAAATAATATTTTAGTTGTGATAATATAATAGCTAAGATCTACCTAAGCTTATAATGATCAATTGTGTGAGTAAATGAATTTTGAATTGCATTTATTGTAAATAATTAATTTTCTGACATCATCTAAATATGTACGTAGATATGTATATACATACACACACACACACACACATATATATATATATATATATATATATATATACATATATATATATATATAACAACTGTAAAAACGACAAAGAATCAAGTATTGGATCTAAGCAAACTTTTGCAGCAAATGTTCTTTCGCTAGCAAATATATCAGATGTATTCATTAAGCGAAACCTGAAATTGCGCGCACATTCTGAGGTCAGGAACGTGTACGACGTTCAGTCGCATGCTGAACATGGAGCAAATAAAAAAAATATATTTTCTAGAACGTAAAAACGAAGAACGTGTTGTCAATATCAGCAATGGCGGAATTTTCTTAGGAATATATATAAAGAAAGACATTACTCGCTTTCGATGGTCATCGATTTATCATCAACTCTGAATTTAGAACTAGACGACTACAAAGCCCAGAAATAAGCACAAAATTAACTTTTCAAACGAACGGAAAGTTCCTTAAAACATTTTAAGCTTGTCTAGCATTCAAAGTTGGCTACGAATTTATGCACAGACGTAATATGTATATTAAGTAAGGCTTTAGATTGCGAAACCAATAAAATATAAGATTATATTTATACATTACGAAAACACAAGGCGTAATCTCTGCATTCAGTACTGAATTGCATGTTAATACGTAAAAAAGTAGAAAATATTGATAACATTCACAAAATGAAAGTTTTTATATTTCTCGGTAAGAAATGGTTTTTTGTTTTTGTTTTAAGACAATGTGAAAAATGCTTCAGAAATATATGATTGCTTCTGTTAAATTATTTCAGGATGTATTGCGTTTATTATGTGGGTCGGGGCTTTTCCCAATAATCCCAGCAATCCAAATTTGGAATATGAATTTATTGATACTAATAAGCCTTCGCCGAATTCCAACAAGCAGCCAGAGTTATTTCCTTTAACAACAGATCGCAGTATTCCGGTGGCAATTAGCACAACACCGCTTCCGGAATCAGATGGGACAACTTTTATTTATAATCCTCAAACGAAAACTTGGACTCAATTAAAGAAAAATGAATTTCCTCCATCGAAAGATGCCTTACTTTGGAATCAAAGTCGAGACAAATGGTTAACACAAGTCCCAGGCTAATGTAATAGGAATCTTGAAATTTGAAAATAAAAGTATCTTTTCTCTTGTTTAAGAATTGATTTTTTTTTTTTTTTTTTGGTTTTTAGTTCCTTTTTTAATAAATGATTTACATTTTCATTTCCCTTTCTGATCTCATTGGCACTTTGTGATCAATATTTCTTTTTAGACGACTTAATTTTGTGCCCGTACCATCTAGAAATTTATCAAATCTTTCATTTAGTTTTGTTATTTGTATCTTGAGTTGTTGCATTTCCCAGCGTATATCTGACAGACCATTAAATTGATTTTTCAACTTTAAAGCAACCTCCGTTTCACCCATTAGCGTTTGCGGGACATTTGTGGCCGAACGTGGTCTTAATAGGTACTCGTGTTCACTATTTCTTTGAGACCTTTGATTTTCATCATGGTCGCGAAAGTGTTTTCTGCTAGTTGGTGGTGTCGCTGTTGAATTTTGTTTTTCAATTGATCTTTGAAACATACTGTAGTTACTTTCAAATTTTCTTCTTCTTATACTTAGATTACGATCACGACGTTCAGCCACCAGTTTATAGATGTTCAATTTAATATCATCGGGTAATTTATTATCACGGGGATCATTTGGGCGTATAGTGAACTGTAAATTATTACGTGAAGTCCTTAATAAAGCGCTACGTTTGCAGATTTTCAGCAATTTAGTGGGAGCACCCCTCAACAGGCGAGAGAAAAACAAACTCTCCAATCGCGACACCAATTCGGCTTGCCTAACTAATCGATCTAAAGTAGCGCATACCTGCAAGCCCTGAATATCGCTAACAGCCAAACCGACCATTAAATTTGTTAAGATAACTGTTACTAATAAAACGAAGCTTAGGAATATGAAATGAGAAGTTACGGGGTACTGGACTTCTACGTCGCCATAGAATATATCTTCGAATTCGAGTTCCCCGGACATCATTACAATGGATTTCAATAAAGACCTTTAATGTAAAAAAAGAAAAAATATAAACTTTAAATAAGTCTTAAATAACAGTTTATATATTCGTAATTTTTGAAAAGTTACATAACCTAAAACTTAATATCAGAAAAAATTGTTGTTCGGCATAGACAACAATTTTCTAATATCCATTATTATGCTTTGCTGAAACGAAAAAAGTCTTCAATATACTGTAATAATAATCGCGTCTGTACGTTATTTAATATATACTAAATTAATATATGATATAATATATGATAATTTCTAACCTAATGTATATGATATTTGAACTTATGTTCTTATATAATTTTGCAGCAAATTATAATAGGAAAAGCGAAAACATTTTAGTCAGGCTAGGTCGACTATTAAATACACTACACCACATTGTCTAATATAATTCTTATTGTTGCCATAGAACACAAAAATTATACGCTGTTGTTATATGAATTTACTATCATAGAATTGTATGTTAAAAGTGAGACCTCTTTGCAAGAAAGAACACTTACTTTTCGCAAGAAAAGTATTCAAAATTCAGCATTGTTAATTTTTATATCAAACTACTGTTATGGATCGATGAAAATTAATCCATAATAATAATTTAAGATAAAAAATTGCAATGTGTAAAATTTGGACTACCCACGCCTATTTTTGGATTCTGCCATATATAAGAATTTATGCGACTATGTTTGCTTTTAGGGCAGAAAAGTTTAAGTTTTAATAAGTTATGATGAAAGTTGATCCATAATAAAAGTTTCACATAAAAATTAACTATGCTGAATTTTGAATGCGTACCACAATTTTTGAATCTCTCGAGCACAACTATTCCTATGGAAACTGAGCCTTTATTTGCAAAAAGGTCTAGCTTTTAAGGTACAGTTCCATAATAGTAAGTCCGTATAAAAACAGGGTATAATTTTTGAATAAGAATTATGTTAGACAATGTGGTGTAGGGTATTTAATAGTCGACATCGCCGCACTATAAAGTTTTCAATTTTTTTTTTTAGTAGCACTTACCAGGTGATATTCCTGAACGCTTTATAATCATTGAAAAGTACTGAAAAGCTTAATCCGAAAGCAATTAGTAAGCAAATGTAAGCCATTAAGAATTTTCCAAAGTTAACCGCCACTTTTGTAAACATTTGCACATAAACCCCGAATATTGGAAATCGACCGATTAGCATCATCAATTCCAACCAAACGAGTAATACTACTATGGCGGCTACATGATGCTGCCAAATAGGAACTGTTGCTAGTGCGTCAACTACCAAAATTTCTGGGGTCTGAGAAGAAGAAATTCAATGTGAAGTTATATATTCCAAGTTTAGATAAAGAAAAAAAAAAAGAAGGAAAATAAGACTAACCACACACAATAGAACGCCAAAGATTATGGACCATTGCAACCAATTCTCCCAATATTTGGCATAGCCCTGTAAACCATGAGCCATCTGTCAATATTGAAAGGAAAAAAAGTCTTTATGATACACTAGACTTATACAAATGTAACTGTCTACACACAATTCCGCAACGAAACTTCGGGTAGTGCCATGTCGTATTCGATATTTTTTTTGGCTCTTCCATGTGTCTGTCCACACATATAAAGCATCATCGATTAGATAGACAAAAGATAAAATATTTGACGGCATTTTACGAAACTAGTCACTGAGATTTGCGAATACAATTACGTTTCGAAAAAGCAAAAGAGCGTCGAAGAAAATACTTTAACTGGCATGGTCTTAAGACGCTCATTGTTCTGATGCTGATTAAATCAAGATTTTCATTAATTTCAATTAGCATTTGACATCTGCAAAAGTTAAATATAGACCAAAATATTGACAAATTAATTGTTTCGACACAGTTATTATACATTTGAAATATTCCGATCTTCGTTACGGATATGCACATAACATGTACATTCGTATTTATTGTAATTATGCGAATAGTTATACCTGAAATAATTCTTTAGCCATTAATATTAAATTCAATACAATTACAAAATATCCAACGGGTACTATATGAATGGGCGCCTGACATTTTTGATTTTTGACACAATGATGGGCATACACGCCGACAATATACATCGTGAAGAGAATCACATATAAAGCATGATATAGAACACTCATCAAATAAAATTTTCTTATACGACGCCATTTCAAAAACAAAAAGGTCTCACATAACGGATGCATGAGAAAACGTTTTTGCCCGACTTCAATTAAGCATAGTAACAGTTCCGTTTCACCCCTTTCCAAAGCTCCAGGAGGTACCAAAAGACGAAAATCTAATATTATTTCGCAATTAACATCACCGATTTCATGGTCATACACCTTAATAGACGCATCCATTTTATTCATGAATTTCGGTATAACTTCAGGTGTACTGCGAACTATGAATGACAAAGCAGAAACGTTGCCATCCGTGCGGGCAGTCACATCTGCACCATGTTCTATTTCATAGAAAATATTTTTTTCACTATTTTTACGCACACCTATATACGCGTGTAATTAATATAGGATTCACTTACCGATAAAAGCGTAAACGCAGTTGCTAAGCTCACTTGAGGCTGCTGTATGCAAAGGAGTAAAACCATAATTGTCTGCTTTATTAACATTCGCTCCGGCTCTTAACAAAATATTACAACAATCTAAACAACGCCAACGTTTAACCATTGCAGCGTGTAAAGCCGTGCGACCATCACGGTATACAGCATTTACGTCGGCCCCGTGTTTTATTAATAGATCTAAAGTTTCTAAAGATTGCGAAAAACAAGCCAAATGTAACGGGGTTTGATAACTACCATTACGACAATCAACATCGGCCCCATGCTCCAGCAAAAGTCGTACACAGTCTACGTAATCGTTTTCAGCGGCTAAGACGAAAGAACAAAAGATTGTTTTATATAATGAAAAATTTAGCTTTTTATAATAGTTTTGAAAAATGATTTGGATAATTCAAACACATCTTCTTGGTAAAAGGCGGATTGGTTTGATGAGAAAGTGAAGTCAGTCTGGGCAACTTATAACGAAGTTAGTAAACTTTCGGTTTTATTTTCATTGCGTTGATAGTTAAGCAGTTATAAGTTAAAATTTTTACACTTAATAAATGATTTTAAATGTATGAGGTACATTTTTATTCTTTGCTTTTTCGATACCTAGTTCCGTGGTTAACTTTTGCAACGGCAAGTGCAAAAAGAAAGTGTCACCTACGCTCACGTTAAGGGGGAAATCACTTTAATAGCTTAAAAAAACCTCCCTCTTTGGGAAATTTTTTTTGGATGGAAAAATAAGTAATAGAATAATAATATTTGCGAAAACTGTTAAGTATATATTTCTTACCTAAGGACTGAGGAGGGGAGAGAGTGAGGGAAGGCAGCGCGCTTCAAGTTTTGGAATGTGTTGGATTAGTTTACAATTCCGGGGCTAAAAAGAATCCCTTTCCATGTTCAAGTTTCGTTGAAGTTTATACTCGCAAAACTGTCTCAAATGCAAATGTGCGACGGCGAAGACGTAATCGACACATTTTACAATTCACATGTGGCAAGATGGCAAAGGAAGTGATAAGAAAATACGTAATGCATAATCAAGTCCAAAAAAAAGTTGCACCTCAAACTTTTACTTTATTGACAGGAATATTATATACAAAGCAGTCAAGCAGTCGCTTTCACTCTCTAAAAACGCTTTTAACTGAAAAAAAATTCATTGAAATATTGACGGAGTTTTCAAAGCGGTTGCCCGAAAGTCCGAAATTTTAAGGAAACAAGCTCTTTCTATTAATGAAGTTTAGCCCCATATTGTACAAGATTCAATATGTTTCTTACGCCAACAAAAAAAAAATCCGAAATATTTTTAGGGGTTTGCTCCTTTCAATGTTACGGAACTTGTTTTGTGGTCTTTTTTTCAAAGTAAATCATTAAAATGTTGATTCTTCGTACAGCAAACAGTTACTACTTTTATAGTAACTTTTATGCATCGTTTGAAACCGTTTTCGAGAACTCATTCGTCCACACTAATTTCGTTTTGATGCGTGCAGGAAGAGAGAGAGAGAGAGAGAGAGAGAGAGAGAGAGAGTAGAGTAACACCAAAAGAAGCTCCCGTTTAAAAATCACAGAAACTTATAGGGAAAATGTTTCTAGGACACATCGTATTATACCTAAGCGAATTTATAGCCTACACCATAAGACAAATTGATTGGGAAGAAGCTTTTTGTAATTTACAAAAATTCCGCTGCTCCATACTTTTGTCAAGGTATGAGCGAGTCAATCGCTAGAAAAATCTTTGAGCAAATTGCCGCTCACCTACAAATACAAATCGACCATCACAGAACATATGGAGAAAAGATTTCATTTTCTTCTTTTAATTATGACCACTAAAGTAAGTCGATTGATTAACGGTTTTTGTTTTTTAAATACATCGTATGTAGATTTAAATAAGTTTAATGCACATATTTTATTTATATATTATATATATATCTGTTGTGAATTGAAGGCTCTCCGTACTTCAAATGATTTATGTTAACAATTTTTTCACATTATTTTATAATTGCTTAATGCGAACGATTCGTAATTTATTGACACTATATTGAAAAATTCCAAAATAAACATGACGTAGAAGATGCACATCTATTTTCTATTTATTACATGCATACATACATACATACATACAAACATATATACATATATGCAAATATCTTTAAAATTATGATGAAAATGAAAACAATATGTATTTGATGCTTACCCAAATGTAATGCCGTCATTTTACTCTCACCGTATTGGGAACGCACATCAGCATCGTGATTTAATAGTAATTCCACGCATTTTGTGAAACCTTGAGCACAGGCGGTATGTAATGGAGTTTCCGTATAAACTTGAGGAGTATTCGGATTGGCACCATACTTTAATAGTACCTCGACACATTCGACAGCATCACGTTCGATGGCAAAATGTAATGCAGAATGTCGCTCGAGACCAATATTTATATGAGCTTTTCGTTTCAGCAATAGCAAAATGCATTCTACACTTTTGGCACTGGCGGCGCAATGTAATGGTGTTACCTGTTTTTTAGCATCCCAACAATTCGGATCTGCTCCATGATCTAAAAGTACTTTTGCAATATAAGCATTACCGCGATAGCAGGCGAAATGCAACGGTGTACGTCCGCGTGAATCGCAACAATTCGGATCAATGTCACAATGATCGAGTAAGTAGCTAACATATTCCAAGTAACCGTGCAACGAACAATACAACAAAGCTAATTGAACATCACTTTGTGCTATTACCAATTCAGTGCACTTAGTGTTTTTAATCATATTTAATATTTCTTCTGCATTATTAGCTTGACTCAAAGTTTTCTCAATTTCTTTGCTATCCCACAAAGTTGGAGCTTGTTGTTGCTGGCACATGATCAACTCATTACCATCGTAGCCAGCGCAATTGCTTTCGCTTGATATGCTGCGTTTGTCAAAGAACACGTCGTTGTCAATACCGCTCTCGGAAATACGTTTCAGATCGTTTTCCTTGATAGGTGCAAAATGAAGCGCAAATGAATAACTAATTCTTAATAATATGGTAAAATATCACGTTTACATATATCAAACTTACAATAATTGAAAATCTTACATTCTCCATTGTGAGTAAACGGAGATATGGGGTATTGGAAAAATTGCGAGAAACGAAAGCAAAAGAGATAAAAAAGTTTCTTAATTATATCTAATGCCGTGCTAATAACCGTCCATTACGTAGAATATTGAAACAATGTAATGATTTGTGTATATGTATTCATGGCTATAAAACGATTTGTTTATAATGATTTTCTTTCGGTTTCGTCTAATTTTGATTTGATTTCTTTAAAGAAACACTTTTCCGTTCAATAGTTTTTCCGCTACTGATTTAATTGTTAGCCAAATATTAAAAAAAAAATTATTGAACTGAATTTGTTAGACGTGATCTTGCATTAATGAACAAAACAACACTCACCAGAACACTTCGCGCTGCTCGTATATCTAAATAGATAGTAGGTGAAATTAACGATCAGCGGAATTGGGAAGCGGGCAAGCACATGCATAAATTCCATTGAAATTTTGTAAACAAACAAAAAAGAGCACCAACAACAATCAACGGCAATGGCCGCCGTAATCAATGAAAAATTGTGTGAAGCTGTTGACTTTTTATTTTTTTTCTTTGTTATTTATTTATTTATTTTCAAGTGTTTCTTTTTAATTAATTGTAAATGTTTATTTAAAATTGCGGTTTAATTGGAAAAAATAACATGAAGAAGAAGGAATCGTTTTTTTGAATTAAAAATTTAGTAGAAAAGTGTGTTAATGTGCGTACTTTTTTTTTTATACACACCACCGAACGACGAGGGGTATATATATTTTGTCAAAACGTATGCAAGGCCCCGAAGGTAGCTTCAAAAACCTCATAAAGCGTATGTCTTCCTAATCAGTATCAAATTCAGAACGCATCGAACTATGTCCGTCTGTCCAACAGTGTAATATCTGTGGTAAAAATTCTCCCGTTTGCAAAACTATTTGAAAATGATCGAAAACCCTTCAAAGTATATGACTACAATGCTCACACGATCATAAAACAAAAACTCAAAACACTTTTTCTTTCCTTTCTTTTTGCACATTACTCATAACCTGAGAGTACCTTTGCTTTCCGTGTCATTTGGTCGTTGCTCATAAACTAAAACAGATACACCATATAAATTTCAACTTTTATTCTACAAAATAGAAAAATCAGCCACGCCCAGCTAATAATATAAAGTATGAAATTTTCATTTCTTCCTATTTTCGTATTTCCTATATTTTCATTTATCAAAACGTTTGCAACGCTTGAAAGAAGCCACAAAGCATCAAATTCTGAATGTTGTGCACACTATAAACATACTCCTGGCTGCCGACGTCAAATTTGGTAGAAAGATTGGAGGGTCTTATGCGCCGATTGGTGTTGAAAATGGGTCACATCGCCCGAATGCATGCGCCACTTTACCACGACAACTGAGTACATCTCTGATTTTCGAAACGAATTCAAAATTGGTTTTCTGCGCATTACTCGTATAAAGATGGAAAAAATTGACCACGTCTACCCGATATTATAGCGTATCAAAATGTAAATGCCCAGAGACACTCTTCAAAAACTTCATAAGGTATATAAAATTTTGGTCCATTTCTAAATTGGAATGCACCTAAATATGTCTGTCTGTTTGTCCGTTCAGAACTCCGTCTATCCAACTGGGCAATATCTATGGTAAACATTCTCTCGTTAGCGAAAATGAACATATCCCTAGAAAATTTGCAAAACAATTTGGAAGTGACCTAAACTTTTCAAAGGACAGGTTTACAACCTCCACACGCCTATGCAACAAAAACTCCATATTAGAGATCGTGAAAATTTAATTGTTTTACTTCTTTTTATCTATTTTAGGATATTGGTGCTGTGAATAAAAAATTCGGTCACCGAATATAATTTTCTTACTTGTTTTCATTATTTCTTAGAATAACGGCGACAGGAATAAAAGATTTGGTCACAATCGAATATAATCTACTTACTTGTTTTTTTTCTTCTTTTTTTTTTTTGAAGTCTATTGTTGACCATTAAATATTGCTCTGTTATAATGAAGCAGGAAATGTGAAGATATTGGGAACGGTAACATTGTTTAAAAATAATTTCAAGACTAACCATAAGACAAACTGATTTAACCAGAAATTGATTATTACTTAGATGTTTGAATTTTCACGAAAATTAGATGATTTTCTAAGAAACAAAATTCTAAAGAAATAGGTTAACCGAGTATACGTTCGTGGCGCCTTACCTGCGTCATGCAGCTGGTGACTGGCGAAGGGATTAACAACAATTGACAAAAACTTAGCGGAAAAACGGATTAAAAATATCGCGATTAAATTAGGCGAAGGTAAGTTAGTTGGTAATATGAGCGGAATATTTGCGGAAAGGAAAGTTAATTGGAAGTGAATCGAGTCAAGAGAGTTGATTTGCAATATTCAAACGGACAAAACCAGAACGAGTATTAAAACGATGTAAACATAAGTTCCTGTAAATAATCTGTAAATAGATCTCCTATAAATTGAAAATAAAACCTATACTATTCTTAAAGTCACATTCAGTAGTACAGACTTAATTTCCAGGGGAATTGAATAAATAACGTAAAATTTAAGAAAGAAAATTTACATTAGGATATTATATTTTGTGAATGTTCGTAATGCATAGGAAAAATAGGACAAACTCAGAAACTTCAAACAGCATCTATTATTCCTATCAAAAAGTTGTAAGACGAGGAGTTTTTCAATTATGAATTTCTGTTATCGTGCTAAACGAATAGCGATGAGTTTAATTTCATAATTAAATTAAATCGTTTACGTTAGGCTGTATGCCGTTGTTATGGGCAAAAAACACTTCGCTCTACGACATTTAACTTATATCGTTTTTTTAAGTTCTCTATTCGTCTGATTTAACTCCGTCTAACTTTAGGGGATTCTCAACACTCAAAAAAAAAAAACAGACGGAAAATGTTTTTTTTTTTTTGGTAAGTTTAGACAAGCGTGTTCTTTGAACGGTTTAATTCATTCTAAAATTCATTTGCAATTTTCTGGGGTAATATCTTTATTTATGCGGACAGGAGAATGTTTACCATAGAGAGTAGTTTGCTGAACAGATGGAAAAGTTTGATGCTGATCAAAAATGTATACGCTTTGTGAAGTGTCCGAAGCTTTTTTCTAAGTGTTGAATGTATTCCCCATCCTTCGGTGATTAGTATAAAAAATGTATCATAACCTAAAACTATCTATTAGAACTAACATAAACGTTTGTAACGTACACCTATATCGTAATCGGGTATATAAAGATCTATAAAATACATATGCACGTATATTCTTGGTCAAAGTGAACAATTTGGACCCCTTATCGATTGAAATAGCGATTATGAATTCACAATTTTGTCTCCAAAAACGCGACGCTGGTTTCGTATCGAATTTGTCAAGCTAACAATTTCTGTGCAAGCATTTCGAGAGGTTGGGCATGTTGTCATCTTGTTAAAATGTTCGCAGTGATGAGAAGAGACTTTTAGAGATACCATAAGGTACATACATTCTTGATAAGTACCGTTTCTGAACCCATCTAAGCACTTGCGTCAGTCCTGCTATCCGCCCACACATTCTATCCATTGCAAATGTCAAAATATTCATTTGAAATTTGCTGAAAGCGTTGGAAGTACTTATACATAAGTTGGTATTAAAAATAACTCAAGTCTGTCAGACGATGCGCCCACAGTGCAACATAAACTGAGCGTAAGTACGTTTACAAACGTAAAACAAAGGAAAACCAATCAGAAAATTATATTCGGGTGTGACCCGACCCCTCATCCTGCTGGAACGGATATAAAAAAAAAACCTTTCTTTGCAGTTTACTCATAGAGTAGAAACGATAAAACGATGAAAATGGACGGAAATGGGGGTATGTTCCTTGTATGTTATGGAGCATCGATAATTTGATGTTTTTCTTGCCCTTACTTGTCCTTTGTTAATAAAAAATAGGCAGTTTGAATCAGATAGTTCTGCGTTTTAGACGGCACAATATATAGGAGGTCCCATGAAAGCAAACCCTTCTATGACGACAAAGCCTAATTTGTGCGTCTTTATGGCGGAAAAGCACCTAGAAAGCAAAAAAAATCTTTGACAAACAAATTAAATTTGCTTAATTGAGACCGCGTTGACGTTTGAGTATCCTCCAAATAATGTATAACATCTTGTGTATTATTGATTAAACGAAGGGATGTCGGATTTAATGGTCATGGTTTACTCGACTATAGCATTCTTACTTGTTTTTGTTCGTCCTTTCGATGGAAGATATTGAAAGGTGAGCTTTTATTTGGAGATGAATATCATCTCAAACATACCACTGTAACAATGAAGTCATTTTGTGGAAAAATCAATGCTTTATTGAAATTTTTTGCGGGTAAAAATCGATCACAATTAGGCGGCCATAACCGGTTTTATTAACAGATTTTGTAAATTCCTAAAAGGTCGAGAAATTCGAGGAGAAAAACTGGAATTTTTCTTTCAAAATATTTTTGGAAAAATGCTGTCAAAAGTGTTATAACTTACTTAACAGTACATTTAACAGGACAACTTTTAAGTATAACATCCAATATGGAAGCAAAATTCTTATTTTTCGCGACAACTCGGAAGAAAGCAAAACAATCCCCGAAAATAAATTGCCACAAGATGTGCTCAGTTGAGTTGGTTTTTTCGCTAATAACTATTGAAACTTTTTAAATTTTAAAAATATATCATTTGAATAATACGATAAATGTACATACAGTTGAATGTATTTGCATTGATTTTTATACCCTACACCATTTTTGGTGCATAGTATATCAAGTTAGTGCGGAGGTTTGTGACACCCAGAAGAGCTTAAGATAAAGTCAGCCTTTATTATACCGATTGATTCAGAATCGTTTTCTAAATTGGTCTAAGCCTGTCTGTGTGTCTGGTTTCTATCCATGTAATGTCGTGTTCACGCTGCAAATTGCAAATTTTGATGAAATTTGGTCTAGAAATGTAGTTTAGCCCAAGGACGAGTACTATTGATAATGATTCGGATCGCTCCATTTTATTGACCACTCCCCTTACAAAAGTTATTGTATAGGGAAAGCTTGCAATTTTCAAAATTTCTCAACAAAAGTGACTAAATAATAGTATTTCGGCATTCACAATTAGAGTTTTTTGGCATTAGTTTCCGTTTCAAATATATATGCGGCGGTATTCAAAAAATATATCAACGGCGCCCAAGTTCGGCAAGGTAGGTTTCTTTGTCCATTTATTATTATGCGCTAATTTTGTTGAAAATGTTGACAATGTTGACAATTCGACCATTATACTATATAAAGCTTCCATTTCTGTAGAAACGGTTACGTGAGAGAGGATGCAAAATATTTCTCCAGCCGGACTTAATTTGTCACACCAATTTGAAAGGCCGAAATACTACTATTTCGTCACTCTTGCAGAGAAATTTTGAAAATTGCAAGTTTTCTTCATATAATGAATTTTATATTGGGAATGGTCGAAAAAGTCGACCGGTCCGAATCATTTTCAATAGCATTCGTCCATGGGTCAAAATACGTCACTGTATTAAATTTCATCAAAGAGCCACTTAATCAACGCTCCTTCAATCATCAT